GCCTACATTCTAGTTTTTAATTAAGTTTTCTTGAAAAGAAAGACCATATTTTTCATCAAGGAGGTAAGCTATTTTCTGTTTATGTGAAAAACGTCTCGGTTACGTATGGTAACCCTCGTTCCCTGAAGGAGGGAACGGAGACGTCACGTCGTATGACCGACGAAATTGGGATCTCGCTTAGAGAGACCAATCCACTTCGAGTGTAAACTAAACGAGCCAATGCACATTGGCATGCGATTATTGCATCCAGCTGCTGCTGATCACAGCGTGAGTATAAGTAGGCAGCAGATGCAGCGCATATTCAGGTTTTCGCTGAGGAGCCGAGCCGGTGACCCGGCCGCTCAGCGGTGGTACAGGAGCTGTGGCGACGGGACGTAGAAACACACGGGTGGTAAGACATCTTTAAAAAGACGCGTCTTCAAAAAGACGTTCCACCCGTGAAGCTCTTTTAGTATGGAAATTGCTCTTTCAGTGTGCTGAAGCGCACAGGGGAGATGGCCGTCTGCAACACACACAGGGGTAGTGCAGCCTGTTGTGTGCAACCCACTCGACACGGGAAACCACCACCGCTGAAGCGCCGTACCGCCAACACGAAAAGCTCTCAAAGAGACTCGTTCAGTCTTCTTCTCTCAGTAGAGTAGTCAGGAGCAGAACGATGTGATCGCTCGGCTCCTCAGCGAAAAGCTGAATATGCGCTGCATCTGCTGCCTACTTATACTCACGCTGTGATCAGCAGCAGCTGGATGCAATAATCGCATGCCAATGTGCATTGGCTCGTTTAGTTTACACTCGAAGTGGATTGGTCTCTCTAAGCGAGATCCCAATTTCGTCGGTCATCCGACGTGACGTCGAGAGTGACCGACTGAAAGGGAACTTAAATTTTATTAGCTTCCATTTATTAAGCCATCTCATGGTGTGCGACCGGCTTAACAAAGTGTAGTAAACAGTAAAACTGTTTATGTGTTTATGGTATTAAATACCAGTTCTGTCAAAACAACTCTCTAAGAGTTTTGCATGGTAATTTACATGACAATGTTAATGTGTTTGGACTTGGCGGACTAGATCTGCTACGCTGTTGCTGCAGTACATCCACTGACATGCTGCTGTGAGCATGTAGGAAATACTGCTGCTGCACACATAACATATATGAAATAACCCCATAGCAGATCTATACAGGTGGAGCTGGGGAAGGTGGAGGATTTCTAATGTGTACTGCAGCTGCAAGCGCTAAGCAAGTATTTGAAATGTTGAGCAGTAAGTTCATTGGCTGGTTTTGTGAAAATAAACCAATCAGCTGCATCATGTTAATAATAATGTGATTTTATTAGAATGAGTTATCAACCTGCGCCATCTAGAGTTTCATGAGAGAACTTTGTATTTTGTAACATCAAGCATAATCTTAACTCTTTTTGCATACCAAAATTTAACTGGAAGCATCTTTTATACAATCCTTATATTCAAGAGTAAAATGGTTGGCACCTGTGTAAAAAAAAAATTATTTGCACCTGTTTCTTTTGGGTTTCAATTAGGTCTCCTCTAATAGAGTCACAAAAAAACTATGGTGCTAGAAATGCAGTCCTGAAACTGAAATATATCTGATATTGCATGATTAAACTATTACAAATGACAGATAAGCAAAGCTGTGTCTCATTTCAAAAGCTGCACATTTGTCAGCCGCATACGTCTCATTAAAAAAAAGTAACCACTACATTGCAAAGCAAGAGAGAAATTACAGTAATTTACACCTTATAGTATTTATTTTTCTAAGACATCCTCAATGATGTAAGCATCTGACAATTGTAACCTCAATTTGACAATTCAAAAGCCTTCGAAAAGCTACAGTTACTGTTTTTAGCTAATTAATATCTCAAACAATGGAGTTTACTATTGAAGTAACAAGTTATGCTGCTGTATGGAAAAGTTCGTTTAGTTTACACTCGAAGTGGATTGGTCTCTCTAAGCGAGATCCCAATTTCGTCGGTCATCCGACGTGACGTCGAGAGTGACCGACTGAAAGGGAACTTAAATTTTATTAGCTTCCATTTATTAAGCCATCTCATGGTGTGCGACCGGCTTAACAAAGTGTAGTAAACAGTAAAACTGTTTATGTGTTTATGGTATTAAATACCAGTTCTGTCAAAACAACTCTCTAAGAGTTTTGCATGGTAATTTACATGACAATGTTAATGTGTTTGGACTTGGCGGACTAGATCTGCTACGCTGTTGCTGCAGTACATCCACTGACATGCTGCTGTGAGCATGTAGGAAATACTGCTGCTGCACACATAACATATATGAAATAACCCCATAGCAGATCTATACAGGTGGAGCTGGGGAAGGTGGAGGATTTCTAATGTGTACTGCAGCTGCAAGCGCTAAGCAAGTATTTGAAATGTTGAGCAGTAAGTTCATTGGCTGGTTTTGTGAAAATAAACCAATCAGCTGCATCATGTTAATAATAATGTGATTTTATTAGAATGAGTTATCAACCTGCGCCATCTAGAGTTTCATGAGAGAACTTTGTATTTTGTAACATCAAGCATAATCTTAACTCTTTTTGCATACCAAAATTTAACTGGAAGCATCTTTTATACAATCCTTATATTCAAGAGTAAAATGGTTGGCACCTGTGTAAAAAAAAAATTATTTGCACCTGTTTCTTTTGGGTTTCAATTAGGTCTCCTCTAATAGAGTCACAAAAAAACTATGGTGCTAGAAATGCAGTCCTGAAACTGAAATATATCTGATATTGCATGATTAAACTATTACAAATGACAGATAAGCAAAGCTGTGTCTCATTTCAAAAGCTGCACATTTGTCAGCCGCATACGTCTCATTAAAAAAAAGTAACCACTACATTGCAAAGCAAGAGAGAAATTACAGTAATTTACACCTTATAGTATTTATTTTTCTAAGACATCCTCAATGATGTAAGCATCTGACAATTGTAACCTCAATTTGACAATTCAAAAGCCTTCGAAAAGCTACAGTTACTGTTTTTAGCTAATTAATATCTCAAACAATGGAGTTTACTATTGAAGTAACAAGTTATGCTGCTGTATGGAAAAGTAGCGCAATGTAACTGCGTGTAGTATTTTAATTCATTAAACTATGCATTAATATACCTCAAAAAGTCTGATTATTGCAACAGAGTGATTTTGTGCATGTTGTTTCTTTTTATGACAAACTGTCAAAAATAATATGAAAGAATATTTGAATAAAAGAGTTCTCACCGTGTTCTACGTTGACTGTCAATACAGAATAACCACATTTGTGAAACTAAAGTTGACAGCACAAAGGAATTATTCCACAACACAACAGCAACCGTTTAAATTAAACATTTGCAAAAGATTTGCATTAAACATACAGCAAGTGCAAGTTTCCACTGGGGGAATTCAAATTAATTCTCACAGCTAAGATTGGCCAATTCAGGCCAAAACAATTCCAAAATTTGGCAGACCACAGTGGAAAACGATTTTGCTTTAGAAGATCCCCAGCAGAGAACCCTGATTGTCTCTCAGCAAATGCCACCTAATATCAGTCAACCTTCAATTCTTGGCCTTTGTGAGTGATAGAGATGTAATGAAACCTAACAAAAATGTAGATTAACAGAAAAAGTTAGGTGGCCATAAGTGCATTCATATTTTTTATTAAAATATATACTTAAAAATGTGAATATAAAACACTTTGACAACATTCATTCACACAAGCTCAGTGTACTGCAGCATTCCAGTTTGATTTCAGTGTAATCTGCAGTTTTGCAAATTAAGCAAACTTCACACAAGCAAATGAAGTTGAATTGAACTACATCTCATACAGATGTAGAAATACTCTCCTGTTCCTCTGTAAGCTTTCAGTGCTTTAATGATAACGCTGCAATTATGTTTCAACAAGGGAGCACTTCACAAGATGTGTAGAGAGGCCGAGTCTGTGATGAAACATTTCTCCACTCACATTTAAATGTAGACAATATAACTGAAATCCCTCTATGGAAAGTCCTGTTAAAGAGACAGTACAGCCAAAAATGAACATTCTGATTCTTTACTCACCATCACATCGTTCAAAACCTGTATGACATTGCCTACTTTCTTCCGTGGAACATCAATTCTGTAGACTTTCCTAATTACTCTGTTCCATACAGTCACCATGAATGAGAACTGAAGCTATCAAGATTCAAAAAAGGTAGCAAAAGCACCATAAAAGAATCCATACATTATTTGTGTGCGATGTTATAAGACTTCTGAAGTCAAACATTAGCTTTGTGTGAGATATACACCAAACTTTAAACATTATTCACAGATAATCTTTCCTAAATTGAGGAAAGAACCAGTTCATTGAAAAGATTATTCAAATTCTTAAAGATGGACTCAAATTTATGTTCACACAAAGCATCAAATGACATTAAATATTTTTATGTTTTTGCATATTTTTTGAGGCTTGAAGGCCATTCCCATTCACTGTAACTGAATTAAAAAGTTTCTCGTTTCGTGTTTCAACAAAGAAAGAAAGTTGGAGAAATTTGGAGAATTTTCTTTTTTCTAGGGGGCCATTATTCATTTAAAAACATCAAATGAAAAAAAAAAAAACTGCATTTGAAGAATTTTAAGAAACATAATTAATTTCTCAATTATTTTTGCCATAACGTCATGGAACCAAAAATGTTGCACAATGTGATTTGTGATGCAGGATACGCCACCATCATCAAGGAAGAGGAACAGGGAAGAGTCCTTTACAATCAGTTACAAGACAAAGGCAGTCTTGTCACTGTCTATGTATTTAAAGTCACAAAAATCCTCCATTTATTTTGCTCCTCAGTCAAGTTTTTTTTTCTTTCTAATAAACAAAAAACTTAATCACCGTCACTTCTCCTATTAACACAAAATCACCTTACCACAACACCGTCCACGAAAAAATCCATCATAAAAGTGAAGTTCAGCTTGTGTTGGTAGAAAACAAAGAAAGAGGACTTGTGAAGTATCCTTTTTTCTTTCTTTCAAGTTATGCCTCAGAGCGCAGAGTGAGATCCGAGCGTACATACGGACAATATGAATTTCATTGAACCGCAGCCTAGTTGGCAACTCCCGTATCCTTCCCGATGTACATGTCAGCAAGCTTTTTAAACTGCGGGCCCCAGTTAGAGAGGTAATCATATTCATGGTCTCCCTCAGTCACAGAGGACTCCAGAGAGCTCAGTGACTCAGCAATTGATCCATTGCCTTCATAAGCGTAAGTGGCGAGAGAGTCATAGGGAGGCGTGAAAGGGTCTGTGTCGTTTTCTTGCAGTCTGCTAATAATGAAGTCTCTGACATCAGCGCACTCCTTCATGGGTGAAGGTCTGTGATAGGGAAACAGCATCTCGGGGATGATGTCTCGGCGCAGCTTGTTGCTTTCGATCACCTCCGGGTGGCGCAGTGTGCCGATGTCAAAGGCCTGTGTGTCCTCCTCGCCGCCGCCCTCATCGTTGTAGCTGACTACGTTATCCCTGACATCCTCTTTGGAGATGATCAGCGGTTCCTTCCTCCTCTGCTTCTTTAGAGCCGAGAACAGCACCACAATCACTGGAAAAGAGTGAAGAGATACATTTACAACTCACCTGAATTAAATGAGAAAATACCACTAGACTGTAATAATACAAGACTGTGCTGAGAAAATGAACACTATTAAAGATGTTTTAAAAATAAACATTTTAACTTTGGAAGTTCTAAAATACTAAAACTAAAATAAATACAGAAAAAATAAAATAAAAACGGAAACCAGAAAACTAATACCTGGAGAATCTAAAAATAAAGGTGATGGAAACTAATGAACACTAAACTAAGCTGAGCTAAAAAAAATAAATAAAACTATAATAAGCCTGCCTTGGGTTATGATGTGAATTCTAAAAACCGGTGGGCATAAACTCACTAAGCAGGATGAGGATACAGAGAAGTATCGCCACTAGCGCCCCAGTGCTGAGGCCAGCAGAGAGCAGCAACGCGTCAACACTGCAGGAACGCATGTTGCCGGTGGCGTCACAACTGCACACGCGAATGGTCAACGTGCTGGTGCTGCTCTGGATGGGGTAGTCGCTGTCGGAGATAACTACTGGCAGATAGTAGACACTCATTTCACGCCTGTTAAATCCACTTCTTCTGGTCAGGATTCTGGCTGTGTTATCTTTGGGAGAGGTGGGGGTTAAGAGAACATTCAAACAGTCAGAGCTGAAGATATTATCTCATGCTGAGTCAAACAACAGCAAAAATAAAGCTGTTTTTGTTGGTGCCAAAACAGAAAAGAAGATTAAACACATGCATTTTCCATAAGATTCGAGATTGAAACGTCAAAGGAAAGATTGATTCACCTTCATTATCAAAGATGGTGAAGTTTGGATTCATTGAACTCAAGCTGAATACAAATTTGTGACCCACAAGAGGATCATCTGTGTCGATGGCACTGATAGTCTGTATGAGCTGGAATGGTAGGCAGGTTTTTGAACCATTTCATTTTATATAAATAGCATTCATATTTTTATGATACCTTCATAAGAGTCATAAGCAAGCATAAAGTATAAATACCTGCCCAGCTTTGACATTCTCACACACAAATGTCTCATAAATCATGGCAAATTCTGGCGCATTGTCATTCACATCCAAAACCTTTATCAAGACAGGAACACGGCTTCTTTGATGAGGGTTATCTAGAGGAATAATGTAAAGATTATCACAATGTAAAGCAGGCAGTATATATACATTGCATGATGTGTCACCAGGCTATTTCTTTATGCATGTGCTTACTTACTTATTTCACTGGCCAGGACTGAGATGTTGTGCCACTTTGACACTTCCCTGTCAAGAGACTTAAGAATTGTGATGGATCCATTCTTGGGGTCGATGTGGTAGAGTCTCTCTGGGTCTGTGTGTTGATCTATTGCATATCTATGGACAGGTTTAAGAAAGAAATAAAAAAATAACTGAAACAGTCACTGACATTCACTGAAATTTAAAGAAGGGCTGCCATTGCATATTATAAACTGGATCATATTAGACAAAGGCCAATTGCCAGGGTATTATTGTAAATGAGATTCTCTCTCTCTCTCTCTCTCTCTCTCTCTCTCTCAAGAAATATGTTATGTTTTATAGAACTGTTCATTATAGAAGCCCATTTCAGCCTCTAAATAAATAAATAAAAATAATAATGCCTCTGCCACGTTGTTTTGTCATATATATATATTTTAAAAATCTGTATTGTTTTTTATTTTTTAACCATTCAGCACAAGTCACTTGATTAAAAAAAATAATAATAATAAGTGAGCCAATAGTGGGCATTACTGTCACACTTTGCTGTACTGTATGCACCACTTTAATCTGGTTCATACAGTATCTGCATGAAGCACTGTGACATGTATATTCAAATTGTCATTATTTTCACTGCATACAAATATTTTCTATGCAAATTAGGCTTATAGACTGCACCTTACACACCAAAAGTCAGCACTATTGGACATTTTCTAGGCATCACGGCATCAGCAATTCATCAAATGATAATCAAATAAAGAAGAAGAGCGAAAACTGGGCATATATTCAAACACACTGTTTGGATATATTATTTTTGCGGTCGAGTGCATTTTTGTCACTTTAAAGAGTTGATTCAGGCACTAAATTATGTCAGACTGCAGTAGTGTGCTGCATCCTCCACAACCTGGAGCCAGTCTGCAAGATTGGGAATTGCATTCAACAGATTTTTTGGGGGGAGGGTGTTTGTGCCGTCATCTGATTTGCATAATTTATTTAGAGAATCGGGTGCAGTTCAGACAGCGTGTGGAAATAAACTACCGTATGCTACCGTGGGTGCAAATCATTTTAGTAAATTCCCTGCAGTAACTGTTGAATAATTAAATATTTCAAATGCTCACTGGATTGGGTAATGTGTGGCATCAGGGTCCCAGGCTGTAATAGTTCCAATTGCTATTCCTTTTGGTGTGTCCTCATTGACCTCAAAGACATACTGAGGCCTGCTGAAGACAGGAGGCTCATCTACATCTTTGGCCGTGACCTTGACGATGGCTGTGTCTAAGAATGGGCCCAGATCAGTGAAGTTGGGGTCCTGGTGTGTGTTAGTCACCTCCACTTTCACTGTGTAAATGCGCTTGCTTTCATAGTCCAGTTTCTGGATGAAGATCAAGAAGTGTGTTTGTTTGTTTTCATAGCATTATAAATCATAACATATTCATAAACACCGATACAGGGTTTTACCTTTTTGACAACGATAACACCCTCTTGGGTTGTCTCATCTGTTATTATATCGAGATATTCTTTGCCATCTCCATCTACAATTCTGTATTTCATTTCAGCATTTTCTCCCTCGTCACCATCGTTGGCTTTGATTCGACCCACAGTTGATCCGATTTCTGCTGACTCATAAGTGCTTAGGTGGTAAGAACCTTGAAAATGAAAGAGGTTATGTTCATTTCAACCATATAAACACAATTGTATGCCCTTTTTGGTCTTAATTCTAAGCCCTGCATGGTGTTTAAAGTCAAGATTTACCCTATTTAATTACTTAATGCATTCTTAATGCGCAATACTAGATGTATTTTCATTGGTGCGTGTTATTCTTGACAAAAAAAAAAAAATTTCCTCATATTTTAAGCAAAATCAAAAAACTTGCTCTTCCTCTGAAAAGCCTTTTCTTCTGATGTCACTTTGGCCATGCAATAATTTTGCTTAACTAAAATGCCAACCAATAGCAAACAGCTAATTAAGCAGAATTTAAGTGAACTCAACATTTGTTTTAGCTCCATGTAATGTTTTACATTTCTCTAACTGAATACTTACTTGGAAATACATCAGAAATACAATTCAGAGTTCAAGAAATACAATATGTCAGAAATACAATTCAAACAGTAGATGGGTTGCAATTCACGTTGACTTTAAAAGCACTTAATAAGGGCTTAATAAGCACTTAATCATCATTTAGTGATATCTTACTGTAAGCAAAACGTGGCGGGCTGTCATTAACATCTGTAAGGGTGACGTTGACCATAGTGGTTCCAGACAGACCACCCATCTGTCCTGCCATGTCTTTGGCTTGTATAACCACCTGATACTCTTTCCGTACTTCTCGGTCCATACTGGAAAGAGCTATTCTGACAATTCCTGCACAGAAAAACATTGTATGACCAACAAGCAGAAAAACATAATATTGTAATATAACTAACATAATGTAAATGTAAATCTATTTCTCTCTCTATACACACATGATGTATATATACACTTTTGTATTTATTAGTAATAAAATAAATAGGCCATATCGTACCTATTCATTCATATAGATAATTTTTCATTTATTATGATATATTCTTACTATTTATTCAAAGCACACACACACATATTCATTAATTTATCCACTAATTTTTCACAATTTAATGCAAGACAGCTATTTTGCAGTTCCGGGTAACCTACTGCATACTAAACTGAAATTTATACTTCCATTTTTCTTAATATTTTTCTAATAATATAGTTGTTTGTTTTATAGCACTATACTTTCTTAAAGGGCCAGTATTTTATTTTCCTGCTTGGGTTTGTGTTTATACCTTAATCTTGATATTTTGCATCCATAACCTTTATATTGCAACATTAATCAAACTTAACTTCCATTCTTCCCAGCAAAAGTCATACGTTTTCCTCTTTTGTTTTTTATCCGCCATCTCTATCTTTCTGTCGCTCGGCTCGGCTAATGTCCGTCCCATGCACTGAACGCGCTCTCCTCCACATCACGAGTAGACACGCCCCTTATTGCTGATTGGCTACAAGTTTGTTTTGCGATTCGGCCCGAATCAGCTTTCTAAAGTGTTTTTGAAAAATCACATACCCTGCCTTTAAATTAGAAAACACAGATGGAATTGGTTTTGTCCTAGGGTTGTGTGTCAGAGGGTAACGAGTGCTTCATAATATGATGACACTTTCCCCTTGATTGAGGGCAATCATTTCATAAATAAGATGTACAGTCCCTTATATTAGATTCCAACTGAACATGAGAACCCATATCAGAGAAGGAAGAGCATCATTAGATTTTCTTGGGGAGACGATACCAAACAGACTGCTTCACTGCTTGAGGACTGACTTGATTGGAAACGGGATAACCAAAGGTTATTATGATATTACTGAGAAGCAGCATGAATCTCCTGAATATTCATGCGCTGTGAATATGTATGGTGCAGTGTCACTGCTAGCACAGAGCCACTGATTGTGTGAGACAGTGGTGATAGATGATGTGCGAATGGGAATTAGATGTAAATAGAAAATGTGATAAGATGAGCAAATAGAATCTCTTCCATCAGGCACTACATCAGGACTCAAGAGAGGCAGTGCCTTGCGGGCACTGGTTTTAGTGTTTACATATATTTGCATTTGACTACCTGCAGCACGCGTTATTAAATGTACATTCCTAAAACTGCTATGTTTAGGTAATATGGTTATTTCTGATTATTAATAGAACCATGGTACTAGTCTTATTTGCTATACATATTTATATTTACTTATGTGGCAACAAACACCAAATAATAAAAAGAAAATGCCAGTACTCATTTAGCATTTTATCCTAGTTTGTTATGCTCTCTAGAACTCTTGAGAGCATCAAATTCTCCTGTCTGAACAAAGGGTTTAAAAAAAAAAAACTTTTGTGGGACTCTATAATATAAAATAATATTTATTTATTGTTTTTATTTTTCAATTTAGGGACACACCAAAATAAAATAAATAAATAAATAAATCATGCAGAGCCATTCAAAACGAAACAAAACAAAACAACCTTAATAACACAAACCAAAACAAATTTTTTGTCAAAGTCTAACTCACTTTTGTTTAAATCGTCCCCTAGTAATGTTGAATAACATGATAGGACAACATGATAAAGACTTAAATCAAAGCCAAAACAGCCCTAAAAAACAAAACAAAACTTAACAAGACAAGATACATTTTTAAATCAAAGCTGAAACTAAATAACCCTAATAAAACAAGCAAATAAAACAAAACGTTGTGAAAGTTTAGCTCACTGTTGTCTAAATGCTCCACTCCATAACACTACATTCTCCAAAAACTTGTCAAATGAAGAAGAAAAAAAAAACTCTCGAAAAACCAATGGCACTGAGGCATCCATGACCTTAAAAACACTGCAGTGACAGGAATATCACACCCTCGTGCAGTATTCCAGCATGACAGTAAATGCACTTCAAATAGCAACACCGAGAGAAAAAGTAATTTTCATTCACTCACCGACGTCTGACATTTCAGGTACACTGGCAGTGTAGACAGCCTTGGTAAATTTGGGCTCATTGTCATTGATGTCATGTATCTTGACAATGAATTCAGTGGCAGGCTCCAGAGGGAGGCCCGTGATCTTGTTGAAAGCCTGGGCCTGCAGTGTGTAAGAGGTCTTTTCCTCTCTGTCCAGTCTCTGTGTAGCATGTAAATCCCCAGACTTCTCATCAATACGAAAAATTGTGCCTGCTCCTTCCCCAGAGAGAACGTATCTGGCAGTTCCATCCCCTCTGTCTTTGTCTGAGCGAAGCTGCATGGACAGAAAGCAGACTGTGACTTAACACAAGTTTTTTTGTCATAATGCACAGATTTGATATTTGGCACATCATTTGTGAATATTTTCAAATCAAACGCTTTAATCAAACACTACTAGAGTAATAGAAAGTCCTTCCTTCAGCAAAATGTTAATATGATATGTTGTCATGTTTTATTAACCAGCGGACTTCAGCTAGACTTGTTTTCAATCATGGTTAGCAGCTTAGAAGAATCATCTTTTGGAGGGAAAGCTCTCTAGGGACAATAGAAACTCTTAGAAGCCACAGTCTTAAGAGTACAAGTCTTTAGAACATATTCCATTAAATACTAATGAAGCTTTTAGTCCGTTTTTACCACTGCATTTTCATTGCATTTCCATTTGCATTGCTAAAAATACAAAATGTCCCTATGCCTTTTAGAACATGATTGATTTCCATGACTTTTCATTTTAATAGTGATAATACTAATCAGAATTGTATTTATTGCTATCTTTGTCCTTACTGTCATCCTGCTACTTAGAATAAACTCGTTAAACTGGATCTCATCACTGTCCTCTATATACACTGAACAAAATTATAAACGCAACATCGTGTGGGTGAGCGGTTTGCTGATGTCAATGTTGTGGATCGAGTGGCCCATGGTGGCGGTGGGGTTATGGTATGGGCAGGCGTATGTTATGGACAACGAACACAGGTGCATTTTATTGATGGCATTTTGAATGTACAGAGATACCGTGACGAGATCCTGAGGCCCATTGTTGTGCCATTCATCCACGACCATCACCTCATGTTGCAGCATGATAATGCACGGCCCCATGTTGCAAAGATCTGTACACAATTCCTGGAAGCTGAAAACATCCCAGTTCTTGCATGGCCAGCATACTCACCGGACATGTCACCCATTGAGCATGTTTGGGATGCTCTGGATCGGCGTATACGACAACGTGTTCCAGTTCCTGCCAATATCCAGCAACTACGCACAGCCATTGAAGAGGAGTGGACCAACATTCCACAGACCACAATCAACAACCTGATCAACTCTATGCGAAGGAGATGTGCTGCACTGCGTGAGGCAAATGGTGGTCACACCAGATACTGACAGGTTTTCGGACCCCCGCGGACCCCCCAATACAGTAAAACTGCACATTTTAGAGTGGCCTTTTATTGTGGCCAGCCTAAGGCACACCTGTGCAATAATCATGCTGTCTAATCAGCATCTTGATATGCCACACCTGTGAGGTGGATGGATTATCTCGGCAAAGGAGAAGTGCTCACTAACACAGATTTAGACAGATTTGTGAACAATATTTGAGAGAAATAGGCCTTTTGTGTACATAGAAAAAGTCTTAGATCTTTGAGTTCAGCTCATGAAAAATGGGGGCAAAAACAAAAGTGTATAATTTTGTTCAGTATAGTAGGACTATTGCAATAAAACTGACTGATGTTAGAAACCAAATTGCTAATGCTTTGTAGTCTTTCAACATTTTATTTATTTTTTTTGTGCCATTTTCTTAATAAAACCTTTAGCATGTTTGACGTCTTGAAATAACGTGATAATAATGGCACTTAATTTGAGAGAAAAGTAACTAGCAAAAGTAAAGTTAACTAGCAGTGAATAAATGTTGGATTTGTAAAATAAACTGTTTACTGTAAGATAATACAACAGCTTATTTATTGTAAAATAAAATTTAAAGTTATGGGGAAAAAATGGTGAAAACTTTTAGGAATTTCCCTGCTTTTTATGATTTATTTTTATGATTTATTTTTTTATAGATGAAAGTTTTTAATATCTGGGTATATGAACAAGCTTTAAAATAGAACATTTTTCATTTCAACCCTCTTAAATATTAGGTAAAAGTAATTAAAAACAGACAGTCATTTTCTCTTTCTTTAAAATCTTAGTATGGGACAGAAGAGTTCCCCTAATTGAAGAATCACCCTGATACATCCCACTGGTTGGGTCATTTAGTTTCCCTTAAATGAGTTTATTTGCCCTAAAGCTGTCTAACTGTCACTGTCTGATGCTTAATTAAATTTTAACCAGTGGGATGAGACTATATGGGTTCTAACAGGCTTCAATGAATAATAATAATTAAAAAAAAATCGAATAAGCAGGTGTTTCATGCGGTTATGTGTGCAGATGCAGGTCCAGCATCTGGTCAGAGTCATGGCCATTTAATGCATTTATCCTGGGCTCTTAAGGCTGTTTTTAGGCTGATTCCACCAGCTGACCCTTCAAACACACTCAGCAGGATCTCATAACAAACACTTTATGTTTTCCACACTGACTGACAGAGAGGGCAAATGAAAGACATAGGAAAACATCACAAAGCAGAATGTTGCAAACTATTTATTTGGCATAACATAAAAACTGTCCTTATAGTGTTCGCTGCATGCACGTATCATTCTCAAAAACACTCAATTTAGTAAATGTCTGTTGCAATGTTTAAAGGCAGGGTAGGGTCTCTTCATATCCCGATAGCAATCACTAAGTTAAGTGGTCTACATTTATTTATATGTATTTATATCGTCTGTGGAAGGCGTAGGACCATAAAATGTTCGTCGAATCAAAATGCTCGGTCCTAACATTACGATAGGCTGTCCTGCCTGCTTGTCAAATATGTATTTGGATACCTTTGCGCACCCTGTTTGCGCAGACATCATACATCATCAGAGCGTTCCAACAAGAATGAAAGGAACTATTATTGTAATATTATGCGCTTTGTATTGTAATGTTTTCTCACTGGTGAATGAGACATGAGGTAATCTGACAGCATTGCATTTAATTCTCCACCAACGCCGTCTCTCATCGTGTCGCAGCTTTTCAAAAATCGCCTATCCTACACTTTGTAGTTGCACTTTGTTGCATTTTATATGGAAATAACCAGATGTCCTGGGCGTGCGAAGTTTTGAAACAGTGAATCGCAAATCAGTTTGCGATGCAATTGGTTCAATTGATTCAATGGTCGCTTCTACCATCACAATGGTTTATTTCAGTAAGACCGCAAAGCCTTTTCTGCAGCGAAAAAGGACAGCAATAACCTGCGATGCATAGACTTACATTGAAACAGAATCCGAAGTCACTGTTATTGCACAGGTAACTAGCATCTTGCATGCTGCATACTTTGTTTGAGCCAAATCCGTCTGTCACCTGACTGCAATCATAGCTCAGTTTTGACAAAATAGTTAACTAGTGTTTTGCATTTAAATGGCAAAATAATCAATAATAAATAAAAGTATCATAATCATTCTAGAATCAAATCATGAATCCAGTGAATCCCAGAATCCTGTCGAATTGCAATTGCGATATTCATAATACTGCAGCTGAGCAGAATATAAATCACAATATAAATACCTGAATACAAATATTGAACCATTTATTACTTTACACAGCATTAAATGATGGCTAAATTTATCTCCTTACTTCCCTGTCAAGAGCTGTATCGGTGTCCAGTTGTTCACTTTTACATTTGCTTGCTTACTTTTCCACCTCATTTTTAACGTAAGACTGGATGTGGCTGTTAGAGATGGCCGATACCACTTATTTTGTTTTCAATATGATACCGATACTTTTAAAGTATTTAAAGTATTTAAAGGCCAGTATCGTCGATATCGATATCAATACCGATACCTATACCGATACGATACTTCTAAACGGAACTTTTCAATTATGAAATTTTTAGATTATTAAATTACTAATAATACCCACTTTACTTTATATTTGAAACACATTTTAACATTTACTACGCCTTAATTGCAACTTATTAGGTTGTATTATTTGTTTACACATGGTTAAAGTATGTTTACTGGTAACCTTGGACATCTACAAATACTATAGTTGAACTACGGCCACTTTAGTAAAAACATGGTTCATTTTTCATAAGGGACTGTTATGCTGCTATGCTGCTATGCTGCTGCACACATGAAATGCAACCTTTTTATTCTGACAGTGTATGATTTATATTAACATTACAGAAAATATCATGATCAATATGAACTTTTAATGTTCAATTTTAATAAATGTGATTGCACAAACTATGTACAGTAGGCTACAATTTCAATTTGTTTATTGTGAACTCAAACATATGTGTTTTTCCTGTCCTCTGATAAGCATTGTTCTGGGCTGCTGTTCCCAAAAGCTTCAATGCTTTCTTATGATCCTTTTGGAAAACGCAGCCCTGTTTGAATGCACTGTCAGAAGTGAGTGAACGCTCTCTGTGATTGATTGGTTCTGTCATTGATTCGCGTGTGGTCAGATGAGCAGGAAAATAGTACTATCCTTCACAATTATTCACTAACATGGTTTATTCATCCAGTTCAATGCATACTGTATGCTTTAATTTTATTTATTTTTTTGTTCACTGGTAAATAAAACGCCTTAGAATAATTTTTTTTTTTTTTAATTTGAGTATCGATACTTTCGATACTCACATCAGTATCGATATATTGATATTTCAAGATTGATACGCCCATCCTTAGTGGCTGTTTCTGACTTCAATGTGCGCGGCTTCCAGTGTTAGCCGCTTCCAGATATTTGTACAAAATATCGTGTTATGCCACTTGATATTGGAAACTGGTATTTCTTATTGTCATATTTTGAGGTATTGTCGTAAAAATAAACACAACATTGATGTATTGTTTAAGTTAAAATCACTGCACTTTTATCTAGGCAGTCTTGCACACTCACAGAAAATACCTTATACTTTCACGTTGAAAAAGAAAGAAAAGACTCATAGCCAAATACGCTATCAAAAGCACTTAGTATAGCATGCCCAAAGTTCAGAAAAGATGTTCCAAGTAACCTTTGACCAAGTCATCCAAATGTTCTCTTTTATGGTGTTATTAGTATGTTATATGTGCTAAACAAAAATTACATTTTGAAGGAAAAATAACAGTTTTAGGCCTCTTTATCGTATTCTAGGTTTTCTGTACGTATACAGCACAGTCAGTGTTTTAATAACAGGGACTGCTGCGGCTTGATGATTTGCAGTCCCTTCCTTCACACAGCCACTGCAGATGGGTTGGAAGTCATGGGGGGGGCTGAAAAAGAGTGAGTGAAATAGCCCATAATTGTTGATTCCTGTCAGGTCTCTGCGGAGCCACTTTGTCCTGGAAATGAGAGTGGTAAAAAACTAAACCCTGGTACAAAGTATTCTGTCTCAAAACGACTCTCTCCCACTCTCGTTCACTTTCAGTCTCTCTGCCTCTGTGAATATTCATGCCTCAGCGAGTGTGTAATTCATATTTGTGCTACTTTATGTTCTTTGATTATGGCATCAAGTTTTTCAAAGTGCCTGTCACAGAGCGCCATGTTCAAATCCAGTGTCAAACCATATAAAGCTCAGGAAAATGAAAGAGGAATGCAAAAATCAGGCATTTGCATCTCCTCCAAGCCCTGTTTTGCTAGACAAAAAGGCTTGTTCTGGGCCCATGTTATCGTGGACACTCACCTTGCCGACGTACTGATAGTTACTTCCTGTGTATTCCTCCGACAGGAAGAACTGCCTCCACATCCAGTCCCTTTTGGATCTGTGCAGCACCAATTTATCTCCTTTCATCAGATGGTTCCAGTGAAAGAGATTCCCATCACCCCTCTCTAGCAATATGACTGGAGAGCTCAGGTGCGGAAAGACCAGTGGAAGCAGCCAGAGGAAGTGATTCATTATCATTGCAGCCAATCGATCGACACGACGACAGTGACTCCTTATGAATAAGCTAAGAAGGGAGGGCAGTGCGGAATTGAAAGTGATGTAGATGGTAACATCAGCAACCCTGACATTGTAGAATCGCCTTTGATCCTCCTTTGATTCCCTATAAAAAATAATCAAAGCAAAAAGGTTACAGTGTGTTGGAGGTCATTGCAGCCCTCGTCAAGATGCAACACCTGTTTCTTACACTGTAATCCCTTTGTTGTTCGCGGAGTGTATCCCACAGGGCACTCATGCGGTATTCTATTTGCAGAAGATCAAACATGTAGCCTCACACAAAACCTTGCATATAACATACCCGCGCAATGAACAGAAATGCCTTCATCGGTAAACACCGCTAAGATGGCATAGTACGCCAGGTCTGGGTTACGGTCAGGACAGACTGTTATCATCTGTTAAGCGATTATTTACGATTATTTATTATTTACGACCTTGATGATGAAAAAAATAAATAAAAATGAAAGACTACATAGACAGTAACAGATAACTAGTATTTAATGGTATTTATGTAATTAGATTACATTTTTAGGTTACAGATTAATGAAAAGTCTTGCAATTGTTATCCAGAACACAGCTGAACATATTTTGCTTTGTTCTTATTGAATTTATAGAGCTTTAATCATCAGATGTTGAAACATGAATCATTTTGCGATGCAACTATTTCAGTGTTTCAAAAAGCCTCACTTCTACCATCACTAGTGTAGCCTCGGCAGTAGCCTACAAATAAATAAATGTAGTCTGTCGTTATGATTGATAAAAAAAGTATATTGTCTGGTATGCAATTCTTGTTACTAGACTTTCCGTATTCCTGTGTGTGCAATAATAAATATTCAAAAAATTTAGCCATATGGATTTTATAATCATTGTAGCAAATTAGCTCAAATGGGAAATGTATATAAATAATTACAATTAATTATGATTAATTACAATTATTTATATCAGCTGCCAGTAGTAACTGTAGCAGAATTAAATTGCCCTCAACTAATCTGTTCGTCCAGCGAACATTCAGTGTAAATTCATATCAACTCTAGGAAAGGATATTTTCGTGGCCACAGAAAACAACCTTTTTACAGTAGCCTAATAGTGCATTAGATTAGAGAATGTAGCAAGGATCAAAATCGTAAAGGTACATTATTCACAAGCAGGATCAGAAACCCATGTAATTTGTGCACAAAAGTTTTATTAACTAAACGCTAACACACATAACTAATCTAAACAAACAAACATACAATCACTCATACATGGGGAAAGGGCAAATGAGACTTGATGGATGAA